GGCAATTCGTTAGATATTGTTTATGTAACGTTTGAATTCATCATTCTATTAAATTTTGATTTTTATATAGCTTTGTGTGACCCCATGAGTTTGTAACGCCGCGAATTAATGGTCCTAGACCTTTTATTATACCGATCGTTATATCTCGACTAGCTGAGTCGATCTAGACATGTGTGTCCGTCCGTCCGTCCATTATAATTTGTAAACACGACACAGTCCACAAATATGGACCAACCGCCATGAAATTTTTTATGTAGGACGGGTTCTGGCCAAAGAAAATCCCTATTGTTCTTGGTAATGATAGGTTAATATTAAGGGGACGAACTGGACCAAAAGCAGTAAAAAAGGTAAAAATTTTGACCCTAACATCACGAAATTTTACGAAAAGGAGTATGATCATAGAATACGGATGACGATGACGGATGATAAAGATCGGTCAATATTTAATGGGTAAAATGAAACCAGACTTTTGTGTGAAAAAAATGCAAAATGTGTATTTTGCGGGCGTATATATTTACTTCTGAAGATCATAGACCCGAGAAATCAATTGTATATCCAAGAGGTGTGGTTGACCTTTAAATTGATACCAATTATATTGTTATATGTAATCGGATATAGGAATTATACTAAGATAATTACAAATGTCTACGTATTTTGATTTGGTTAGTATAACATTACCACACTAGAATGCGAAAATGTTGCGCGGATCGCTATGCAATTATACATAAGATTCCGGTTATGTTCAGAAATGAGGAGATCCTAAAAAGAGGAGATCCTAACCTCTAATCAATTAAGAGGGTGCAAATGTCGCCTAAGCAAGGAATATAGATAAGCAGAACATTTGAGTTCGGTGGTAGTTGTGTAGGGTATCGTATGGTCGGCCCTGTCCGATTATACTGCTCCGCTCACTGGTTCCAATTTACATTCATTTCAAATTTGTATTTGTATACCTTTCAATAGTCTAAAGTTTGTTTTAACCAGTTAAACACTCAGTTATAGCTCGAATACCGCCCGAAGGATCGTATTGTGATCTGGCAGTCAAAAGAGACATCTGAATATTCCGTTGGCTCTGTCTGAACATTCTGATATCAGAGTTTCGCATGACCCTTATTTCCGCAATTCAGTCTTATTCAAACATTTTAATTGAGTATCTGATTGTTGCATGTACTATATTTAAGTGGGGCTTATTACGATCCACTCGGTCATGTCTTTAAGTCTTAAATCTGTGAAGGCCGCCCAAAATTTTAGTTCGATTTCTATTGGATGTATAAATAAAATATAGACCTTGGCAGCATATTTAGCATAGCGAGTGAGACTCGGGTCTTTCCGGATCGTTGAACATTCTGTCGTAGGAACTTGGTGTTGCGTAGTTTGTCGGGAACGGGTATGAAGTCTACCATGGCTACCTACTAGTCTTTCGGAATGTCTTTTGTATATTTATTCAAATGACTATGAGTTATTATTGGATAACAAATCTCACCACTAAAAATTATTAATATATGTCCATTTATTCGGGTAGCCCCCATATAAATGTACCAACCAATTTTCGCCATTTTGGGGTTCTTTAGCGCGTTTTCAACCAAATGCGCTGTAATTCGGTTATTTTTAGTCGCATATGGTACCAAATCTCCCTTCCAAAAATTTTTAATATTCGCCCCCTTTTTGTGGTAGTCCCCATATAAACCCCTTTTTATATTGAAATATTAAGCTGATTTGTACCGTGTATTGTAGGCATATTCCACCATAGTATAAGGGATAGTCGTTACTCGAAACAGTCAGTTTTTACACTACAAAGTATGGAATTCTAGGACAATTTATACATCTGTTGTAATCGTTCCGCCTTCTAAGGATATCATGATAAAAATCTCGAATATGACAACAATGAAGAACATCGACCAGCATTTATGCATCTTCCCCATATAATGATACCTCCTGAAGGAAAGAATTGCGATACAAAACTGAAATATTGGGTTCGATATTGACATATATCGGTCATTAATTAGGCATGGCCCTCATATAATGATAATCCCAGATATTCGCCAATTCCCAAACTATGTAATCAATATTGGTCCCCCTTTAGGCATAGCCTCATATAACTTTGCCATCTAAATTGCAGTAGTTTGAGGATTTTATACTCTACCATGCGTTAAAAGTCCACGTTTTGGGGTTTTTGAGATTTTAGGAAAAATCCCCATTACAAATTGCTGAAATTTTTATTTGGTGTATCGGTATAGGCCCACTTTTTAGTATTTTCTCTATATTTGCATTGCAATTATCTGTCAGTATATCTGTGGTGGGGAGGCATCCAATGCTCTTCACATGTTTTTTTTTCTCTTACTCTTTCTGTCTCATACCAAAATCAGTGAGGTGTCCTCCCCTCCTTTCCGATCTTTACCTTCCCATTCATGATGAATACTGCGTTGGACTCATTAAGACTGCGTTGGGCTCATTGTTTTTGTTCTTATTCACCAGCAGCGGCGTGTTTTGTAAACCAAAGAGAATTCCTTAGTGAATACGCTGTTGCCTTCTGTAGTTGAGTAATGTCCTACTTTCTCACAATCTTTAGTGTAATTGTCTCTCGTGAGGGACAATGATAGCAAATAGCTTCCTCAGGGCTTCAATGCATATTTATTCAAAATATTGCATCATAGATCGAGATGCACTCCATGCAGGATCTTGTTATTAACCCCATCCAATATTCTTTGTTTTTCGAACGCACTTTCGTCATTCAATGCGCATCATAGTTATCTGTACTAATTCCTGGCTATGAGGAAGTATTTCTAAACTTTGCATAGAACGCAAAGAAAAACATTATCACTCATTCATATATTAAGAAGGATTTACGGTATCGGATGTTTGTACATGATGATTGAAGTAGTCATCAATTCATTTATAATTTACATAGCGATTAAAAATGTGAAGGCTTTTTCAAATCTTTGACCTATAATGAAAAACGAGGCCCATTAAAACATTATGTATCGTGGATCTTGGTATTTCAATGGATCCAAAGTTAAACTTTAACAATCTATGGTAAATAAAACCTATGGTGTATCAAGTTTTATTAAACGGTGGGCCAAAGAATTCTCGGATCCTTATATAACAAAACAACTATACACGTCTCTTGTTAGACCTATATTAGAATATGGTTCTGTTGTATGGGATACTCAATATGCAATATATTCCGATAAAATCGAATCAGTGCAGAAACAATTATTACTCTTTGCACTGAGAGGTTTACATTGGAATAGTGATTTTGTGTTGCCTTCTTACACTAGCAGGTTAAAATTAATTCGGTTACCTACATTAAAAAGTAGACGTATTATGTTGAACACTATGATGGTACTAAAAATATTAAATGGCAATATACCCTCTGATTTCCTATTTTCATTTATTAGAATAAATGTTCCTTTTCGATCTAGTAGATATTATCAACTATTATATGTAGATTTTCATTGCACAAATTATTCTATGGGAGATCCACTTACTAAAATGTGTATTGATTTTAATTCTGTGTACTCTAATGTAGATTTTCGCAAGAATGTTGAACTTATAAAATCTAATATAATTGTATTTTTAAAGTAGTGCAACTTAATAATAAACTGACTTTTGGAGTAGATTCTGTAGCTGGTTTTCTATTCCCTTCTCATATTCCACCATGATGTGGATTATGGTGTGTACGCGATCCCTACGAGAGGGGAGGTCGCCCCCTCGGTCGGCAGGGGTGGAAAAGTGAGGCGTGGGAACGTTCGTAACAAAAACCAGTGAGCGGAGCAGTATAGTCGGACGGGGCCGACCATACGATACCCTACACAACTACCACGAACTCTAACTTTCTGAGGATGTTTATTCCGAGTCTGAGTAATATTTCGTGATATTTGCCCAGTCTTGTCCGATTAGAGGTTAACAACACCTCTTCCTTACTTTTTTCGAATATTCAGTACAGTCCTTCTAATTACTTGTCCACATTACCTTCACGGTGGGTTGTGTTGTGATTTTCGGATTATACTCTACTCGAAAACACACAAAAAATTATGTTCTCCGTACATTTCATCCCAAAATTTTAATCTGTTCATCAACGAAAATTATAGGCGTTGTTCTTGACCATAACTGGAACTTCATGAACAATTTCAAAGCCATCAGCGCGATATTTCTCCCTCTAATGTGGTAATGGGTTACTAAATAATATCTGAATACATAAGCACCTGTAAATATTTGACTGTAACTCCCACATCTGAGTAGATACATCAATATATTTGGTATCAATTTAAAGGCCAACCACTCCTCTTCAATCAACTCCTGGGGTCTACATCCTCCATGAGTAAATATATATGCCATAGAATACAAATTTTGTAATTTTTCACACAAAAGTCAGGGTCCATTTGACCCGCTAAATATTGACCGATCTTTATCAAAACATGCATGCTTATTCTCTGGCCCGATCCCCTTCTCCATGCAAAAATTCGCGGTGTTTGGGCCATAATTGCGGCCTCTGGAGCGACCAGAAAAACCGACAAAAATTTAGTATTTGGTCCATTTCATCCCCTAAATATTAACCGATCTTTTCCAAAAACAATAGGGGTCTTCATTGGCCAGAACCCATCCAACATGCAAAATTTCGTGAAGATTGGTCCATAACTGTGGCCTGTATCGTGTTTACAAATTATAATGGACAGACGGACGGAGGGACGGACGGACACACATGTCTAGATCGACTCAGCTAGTCGAGATATGACGATCGGTATACTTAAAGGTGGGTCTAGGACCAATATTTCGCGGCGTTACAAAAATTTGGGGCTGCACAAAGCTATAATACCCTGACAACATAGTTGTGTAGGGTATAAAAGTGAAACAATTAAAAACGTCGTTATGAGGTTTAAATACCTAGGATCGATTGGATCCTTATATTAAGGCTATGTTAAAATATAGATATATTTTTCTGCGAAAAATTGTATGGTTCTTCAAAAAGTAAAATGTTGCTAGGTCCTTTAAAATGTAAAAAAATGTCTACTCATGTACGTGGGTCAATGATGTTCTAATTGACAATATTATAAATGGACTTCGAAATATGATTTCAAAATTTTTAAATAATCCGCCATTTTCTATAATTTCCTTTTAATATATAATTATTTTTAAAATTTGCAGCTATCAACCTTATTGTGCCTGTGCTTAATTATCATTTCCTGCACGGCCATACCTCAACATCGCAATATCAACAATCATCAACCGCACCCTAACGCAAACAATATCCCCCTAGATGAGAAACCCGATCCACGTCGTGAAACCTCCACATGGATACCAATTCTAAAATATAACAAAGAACAAAGTGAAGATGGCAGCTATAAGACAGAATATGAAACCGGTAATAATATAATACACGAAGAAACGGGATTCCTTAAGGATTTCTCAGAAATTAACCCCAATGGTGTGCTGGTACAACATGGTCAATATTCCTATCAGTCACCCGAAGGTGAAACAATTAATGTTCAGTACACCGCCGATGAACGTGGATTCCGTGCCACCGGTGATCATATACCCACACCACCAGCCATTCCCGAGGAGATTCAAAAAGGTTTAGATCAAATTTATGCCGGCATTAAACAGCAACAGGAACGTTTGGAGCAGAGAGCCAAAAGTGATCCGGAATTTGCCAAGAAATTAGAAAATGTCCGTTTGGCCAATCAGAATGGTCAATATGTGGGTCCATTGGAGAATCCTTAAATGTCACCATTCAGCAGCATTGTTAATATCATTACATATAATACCATTCACCCCCTCAAATATTTATAACCTCTAGACTACCAACAATGATAATTTTTTTAACACATAACACAAACAACAACGCAAATTTGCAAATTAAACCCCATCCCCACCATCCATTCAATCAAACAAATGTTAAAAAATATCAAGACTGTGATTTGTTTTAAGTTCGGTGTTGTAAGTATGTGGCTCCAATTATTCCCAATGACTATTTGTTTTTCTTCTTCTTCATTTTTATCATCACTCTGTTGGCAATTGCCGTGGCTTGCGAATTGTTGTAAAAATATTTATTTCTGTTTCTTTGACATTTCCACACCACTCTCACTAACCAACAACAACAACAACATTTAACAAAAAAAAAACTATTTTATTTTATTTTATTTCAACGACAACAACAACAATAACAGTAATTAATGTACAAATAATTTGAAGTAAAAAAGAGAAATACTTAAATAAAATAAATAAAACAAAAACTAAAATCAAAATATTATTTTTTAATTTTTACGGAAACAGGAAATTAAACAAATACACGGTTTGTACAAAAAATATTTTAAGTATTGTGTTATCTGAATAATTCCGAATCACTCTATGTAGAGGAACGGATAAGACGTTCGACTTCGGAGGGTTTGTGAGAGACGAAATACATGTGGAGACGTGTGGTATTAACCGCAGTCCTACAAACTTGAACCGAAATCAACAGCAGCTTCGGCAATCCGCTCGTCCCTGTATTAGTTCTGGAGTATACGATCGATGAGATATAATTATTGTGCCAAAAGTAATAACGTTATCATATGTCAAGATTATTTTGTAACGATCACAAATCTGATCTTAATCTTCATATGATATATTATAACCTACACAACTATGTTTGTAACGCAGCGAAATATTGTTTCTAGACCCTCATTTTAGTACACAGATCGTTCGTCCGCCGTCTGTCCATTATAATTTGTAAACACTTAACAGGCACATTAATGGACCAATCGTCATTTGCAATCGAAATTTTGCATGTAGTATGGGTCATGGCCCAAGAAAACCCTTATTTTGGTAATGATCGATTAATATTTAGTAGATGAAATAGAACAAAACTTTATTTTTGTCTGTTTATCTGGTTGCTCTGAAGGCCACAACATTGCCATGACAATGATTAAATTGTGCACGGAAATATTACCCAGACTTGGAATACAGATCCACAGAAAGTTAGAGTTCAATGGTAGTTTTGCAGGATACCATATGGTCGACCCCAGTCTACTGTACTGCTCAGCTTACTGGTTTTTGAATAACTTAGATCAGGCCGATTCCAAAAATTTTATGCCGATTTAGCGATGTTCATCTATTTAAATCACGACCGAACTCGCCATATTCAAAATTTCTATATTTTGTAGAGTTCATCCAAATTGGCTGTATTTTTATATTTTGGACTAGCATTAAATAGAAAATCTCCCTTCCAAAAATTATCAATATTGGCCCACGTTTCACGACTGTATAACGGTACCTCTCAAATTTCGGTATTTTGGTAAGTGTGGTCACATGGGGACTAAGTATGAGGGCATATAGTTTATCCTCGAACCTGACGTTCTAGTTGTTATACACTTCTCTACACTGTGGTACAGGGTATTATGTCTTTGTTCATATATTTGTAACAGGTAATAGGAAACGAGATAGACCCATGGTTACTTTTGGGAATATGCATAGAATCACTTTCTGGGTGTATTTATGTATGTCCGTCCATGTATTTTTGTTAACAAAGTGCTGGTCGCATTTATAATCGGATTTGTATAATATTTGGCACAGCTCTTTTATTTGTACCATGTTACGAACCCGATTGAAATTTGAGAAAATTGGTCAAGATTTAGATATAGTTCCCATATATAGTTTCGTCCGATTTTATGTAAATAGAGCACCATACTACCAATATTTGTACGATTGAGACAAAATTTTACACAGAGTACTGAATTAGTCCTGATTGATGTATGCGAAATTTTGTTGTAATCTGTTCAGATTTATGTATAGCTAATATATACTTTAACCCCATATTATGGAAATGGTGGACTATAGATCCTGTTCTATTTGCACGATATTTTGTTGTTGAAATCGATTCGGATGTAGATATAGCTCACTCATATATTTTTGTCCGATTTTATGCAAATGGAGGAGCCTATGTTTGTTCGCTTTACATGAAATATTGCATATCGTATTGGATTGAAGACGTTTCAGGTTTAGATATATCTCCCATATATATTTTCATCCGATTTCATCAAAATGATGTACCAAATAACTCAAGATTTCGCTTAGGACGAATTTATGCACAACGTACCAAATAGAACCTAGAATAACGTGTATCGAGATATTTTGTGTCGAGATTAATTTTGTATTGTTGCTCAAATACGTCCATTTATATATAGATCTTTTACATATTTTGCTCGATGACATTCAATCTTTCTATATATAACCAGTGAGCGGATCAGTATAGTCGGACGGGGCCGACCATATGATACCCTACACAACTACCACGAAAAGCACACTTTCGGCGGTTCTATATTCTGAGCCTTGGCAATATTTCGTGATATTTGCAACCTTTTTACAGATTATAGATCAACAACTCCTATTTCTAAGTCTTGCATATTTTCCAAAATGTTTTTTTCTTGAAGAGAATTTTTACGCCATACAATAAAAAAAATTGGTCACTTTAGGTTTTGGTTGATTTGACCCTCGGAAAATTGACCGATCATCATCCAAACAGCCGCTCTAAGTATTTGGTCAAGTCCCCTTCACCTTGTAATTGTAAAATATATGATGTTCTGTATATAATATTTGTCTCTAAAGCGACTAGAAAGTCTGACAAAATTAAAATTTTCGGTTCATTGCACCCCCTGAATGAAATCTCAACTTCACCGAAAACTATAAGTGTCGTCCTTGACCATAATCGGAACTTCATGTAAAATTTCAAAGCGATCAGCGCGACATTTCCGTCCTCTAATGGAGTAATAGTAACAATATACACATAGTCACCTTTACTTAATTACGTATAACTCCCGCATACAGCCATATAATTGGTATCAATTTGAAGGTCAACAACTCATCAACATTTCGATTATATGTCCTTCAGGAGCAAGTATATACGTCCCACAATAGAAATTTTGTAATTTTTCACACAAAAGTCAGGATCCATTTGACCCGCTAAATATTGACCGATCTTTATCAAAACAGGCATGCTTATTCTTAGGCCCGATCCCCTTCTCCATGTAAAATTTCACGATGTTCGGACCATAACTGCGGACTCTGGAGCGACCAGAAAAACCGACAAAAATTTAGTATTTGGTCCATTTCATCCCCTAAATATTAACCGATCTTTATCAAAAACAATAGGGGTCTTCATTGGCCAGAACCCATCCTACATGCATAATTTCGTGAAGATTGGTCCATAACTGTGGCCTGTATCGTGTTTACAAATTATAATGGACAGACGGACGGACACACATGTCTAGATCGACTCAGCTAGTCGAGATATGACTATCGGTATACTTAAAGGTGGGTCTAGGACCACTATTTCGCGGCGTTACAAACTTTTGGGGGCTGCACAAAGCTATAATACCCTGACAACATAGTTGTGTAGGGTATAAAAATGAATTGCTGTTCGTTAGTCTTTCTAAAACTCGAGAACGGCTGAACGGATTTTTCTTATCGTAATCTTGAAATGTTTACAAGGTGAGAAAAAATCGAAAACCGCGAAAAATGTGCAAAAAAATATTATGAGGCATATTTGCATATCCACGAATTTAGTATCGAGCTATTTTGATTGCACCATGTCGTAGTTTTATTTTGAGACCTTTTTGTCAAAAATTGGTAGGCTATTATTCCTTTAAGCCTACATTTGTCAAAATTTTCAAAATATTTTTATACCCTACACAACTATGTTGTCAGGGTATTATAGCTTTGTGCAGCCCCAAATGTTTGTAACGCCGCGAAATATTGGTCCTAGACCCACCTTTAAGTATACCGATCGTCATATCTCGACTAGCTGAAATTTGTATTCTATGGCATATATATTTACTCCTGGAGGATGTAGACCCCAGGAGTTGATAGCATATCCAAGAGGAGTGGTTGGCCTTTAAATTGATACCAACTATAGTGATGTATCTACTCAGATGTGGGAGTTACAGTCAAATATTTACAGGTGCTTACGTATTCAGATATTATTTAGTAACCCATTACCACATTAGAGGGAGTAATATCGCGCTGATGGCTTTGAAATTTTTCATGAAGTTACAGTTATAGTCAAGAACAACGCCTACAATTTTCGGTGATGATCAGGATACACTTTTGGGATGAAATGGACGGAAAACATAATTTTTTGTGTGTTTTCGAGTAGAGTATAATCCGAAAATCACAACACAACCCACCGTGAAGGTAATGTGGACAAGTAATTAGAAGGACTGTACTGAATATTCGAAAAAAAGTAAGAAAGAGGTGTTGTTGACCTCTAATCGGACGAAATACTACTCAGACTCAGAATAAACATCCTCAGAAAGTTAGAGTTCGTGGTAGTTGTGTAGGGTATCGTATGGTCGGCCCCGTCCGACTATACTGCTCCGCTCACTGGTTTTTTTTTTTAATTGGAAAATAATTGAGAAGTATATCATTGAATGTACACGCGATCATTGTATGTACACGTTTTCCATTGAATGCACGTACATTTTGGGACATTTTGCAAGGATGGAAAATCAGTAGACATCCGAATCGAGTTCGTGGCCATTCAGGGCATTCGAATTCTAAGATCCATGCAATTAATTTGTTTGGAAATAATAATAAATTTTGATATGCTACGGGAAATATAAAATCAGGTTTTTATATTTCCATTTTCCAATATCTTTGAACTTATAAACATCCGATACCAAAAATGTGTATCACAGAGAAAACTAATATACGAGATATTTTCTTTGCAAAATCTATAATAATAATTT